GGTTCTGGGCACATGCAATCACATGTGAATTCTTTCAGAGAGCTTAGCATCCACTATCCCAGCACCATCCTTTGGCTGCTGAATGAGCTTTGGCTGCTAAATGGCTCACAGATATCCCTCTTTTTCTGGAGGATTCTGCTCAACCAAATGTGGGTTGCCTCACTCAATTGTTATGCACACCCCCTACCCCCAGGTAGCCTAGAGTTGATATCTGATGGATACTGAAATGTAATAGAAGAAAATCAACCCCCTGCCTCAAGGTTGAGCCACCCTGTGGGGTAATTCGCGTTCTAGTGCTCCAGTGCTCCAGAGCTCCTCATGGGATTGGGTTGAAGTGTCCAGCTGAGATCACAGCCACACTTAACTTTTCTCACTCACCCCCACATTCTGCTTCTTTCACTGCCCCTCCCTTTCTCTTGAGAGCACTGTTAAAAAAAAAAAATCATCACACAAGGATGCCAGCTTCAGCCTCCATTTTTGGAAACCTCCCATCTCCCATCCCTCAGGAAGTTGGTCCTGTGAAGCCGACTGTAAGGATGGTGGGATTCTGAAGATGGATCCCTGGGTGGCAGGATGGCAGAACCCACCCCATTGCTAGTTACTGGAGTATTGCTAGTCACTGCTAGGCTGTGGCACATAACCTTTGTCAAACCAGGGAATGCTGCAAGTGAAAGTGAGACAGGTGGGTTCTTGTGGAGAGACTAAGTGGAGATAAGTAGATGGAGATTCGGATCAATAAGCATGACCAGCCATGCCTGTCCTTTTACTAGATGAACAACACCTTCAGCATATGCTTGTACCAGATCAACTGGAACAAAACCACAATTAATTTAAATGTCACCGGATTCCAAGACTTATACCCACATGTGATTTATGACTAGACTATTTGACCAAAGAGAAACATTCTAAACCCCAGATATAGAATGATTGTCATGGGACTTGATTTACAAAGAAGTTTGCCTGAGAGCCTGCACATTTTTTTCCCCTGGAAAAATCATATATATGATCAGAAATTTCAACCCTGAGCATGTCACTGTCTTCTTCTCTCTGAGAAGTGAGGGACACCCATACACTACTTTTGGGTGTATAAACCTTGCTGTCCTTAAATAAATCTTTGCTTGGGCCTTGCCTCTGACACATCCTGAAATTCTCAAGAACCCACCCTGGCTGAGTGGGTTCTCCTCTGGATCTCCTTCTAGAAACAAAATGGGGTGCCCTCGCTGGTATAGTCTTTGGTGACTGAGAGGCTTGGAGAATTGCCTGCTGTAAGGTCTGTGGAGATAAGTGGCTATTGCTAAGTAAGCAACACGGGAGGGTCCAAAGGGCTCTTGAGCAGCATTTAAAGAGAGTCTCATCACCTTCAGTCAGCTGACAACTAGGAAAAGGTCTTAGCTGGAAGAGAGGCAGAATTTCAGAGCAGGCTGACTGCTGATGTCAAAGTTAAGACCTTGACAGGGAAGGAGGAGAATCTTGAGACAGGTTGGGCTATCAGGGTCGACTTGAGAACCTTGAACCCTCAGATCCAAGAGGGCTTTTCTGTTGGAAGACAGAGCGCATCCTTACATGAAAAGTACATAGGGGCCTATTGTGAGCCAAATCTCATCTCTACCTAACTGGGAGATTTCTGTGACTATTAAGGGAGAAAAAGGATTGTCAGCCAGAGACACTACAGGACCTTGCTTACAGCTGAGGGGCAATGCCTGGGTGTGCATCCTGAAGGTGTCGGATTAAGGAGGAGCTGAATATAAAGTGGTTTAGGGAAATTTAACCAGTCAGAGGCACACTTCCATGGCATAGTACTTAATACATGACGGGAGCTCTGAGAGCCAATTCTAACATGCTTCTGAGATGGTTCTGAGAAGCTGGGCAGAACAAATGGCCACATATGTAGAGATGTCAAAACTCTCCTGGTAGAATGTGGATGTAGGGATTTAAAAAAAATTAGAGAAGTAAGCATGCTAATATATTAAATAAGCATGCTAACCAAATAAGACTAGAAGATGTTCTTGCTGGCTATGCTACTCAGAAGGGCTCTGATAGACATCATTGTTTATCAGATGCAAATAAAGTCTCTGCCAAGGAACCAGCACCCTTGAGAAGCTTGTTGGGGTTTGTCCTCTGTAGGCCAGAACTGAGGGTAGAAGGTGCTCTTATAGAACAGGAACCCTTGGTAGATGCAGGGATGACAGGATCCCAGAATATTAGAGATAACTGTGAGACCAACAGACAACCTAATTACCATAATGGATAGCAATGTCAAAGTGGCAGCCAGGGGGCCTGACCTGACCTTATGGGAATGACTGATAGAATGTGGTATTTCTAGGGACAAGATATATGGGCAGATAGAAAGGGTATTGCTTAATATACAATCTAAAGAGGTCAAGGAATGAGTAGCAGGCTGAGGTCAGACATCACTTCAATGGAAAATCATAATCCATTATCCAATTTTAAAACCTGAGCCTGTTCTCAGATGGACAATACACAGATTGAAGGAGAAACTGGTATTCATGAGAAAGATCCCAGAATATCATAGCAAGTACACACAAATTTCTTCAGTCCTTCTCCTAAGCAATTTATGATTATTTCTTTGGAAAATCATAAGAAAGAGCAATATCCTGATCTTTTGAGGGATGTTGGATATATAAGGTGATGGGGTTACTTAGGGGTCCTAAGAAGCATCCTACGTCCTCCTCATTTCTTAAACTGTTCCTTCCCCTATTCCCAATTAGAGTATGGTGATATTGGATTCAGACAATAAATGGAGTCTTCACCCAGGTCTGTCTCAGTGGATCTACGGGTCTTGTTATCAACCTACTGGTCATTTCTCCAGTTCCTGAATATATAATTGGAATGGAATACTTAGCTGCTGACAGAACCCTTATATTAGTCCTTAACTTGTAGAGTAAGAGCTATTTTATTAGAAAAGGTCAAGTGGAAGTCCCTATAACCACCTTCCCTTCTCACCAGCTCCCAGTTAAGACAGTAAACAAAAACAATATCACATCCAGAGGAAACTAATATTCACCTGGGACACACAACATTCTACTTTTATAGCCTTGTTGCAGGGCTATGTTCTTTTTCCTGTTTTCTGTCATAATATATTCTGAAGAGACCTGGACCATCTGCCATCACATTGTTCTACCATATTGAAATCTGACTAGTCAGATTTGATGAACAAAAAATGCAAGTACTCTGGGTGCCCTGATGAGACATATTGCAGACGGTAGGTACACCTCACAAAATTTAAGAGTTTGCTATGTGGATGACATGTTTTAGCTAACAATTATTATTTTTAAAAAACTGAAACAAATTTAGACTTAGGAGAGACACAGAAGGATTCCAGAGATTTTTTTGTGTACATTTTATTACTGTTAACATCTTGTATAAGCATAGAACACACATCAAAACAAAATCATCTTGGTACAATGCTATTATCTAAAGTACAAGACCTTATTTGGGTGGTAAAGTGGACAGTAGTCTAGGGCATGTCAGGACATTTTCTACAAAAATATCAAGTTACTGCACCTTATACCTCTAACCACTAAGAACGAAGCATAATACTTGGGAGATGTCTTCAGGTTTAAGAGTCAGCACATTTTGAGCTTGGCAATACTCAGCTGTTGATACTCCAGTGGCTAGTTTTGAGTAGGTCTCAGATCAAGAAAGAGCTCAGTAGCACTGCCTCTTCAGCCATGTTGTTTGCCACATCTAGCTTGGCACATCTCACCAGCCCAGAGATATCTGCAGTAGAGGAAAGGCTAAGTGGAAGATCTGGCAAGTGCTAGGAAGGGCCATAAAACAAGAACAAACAAAAACAAATAGAAGAGTCCAAGTGCAGCCCTCTAAAGTTCTGCAGCACAACTACGCCAAATTAAATTAAAAAAAAAAAGAAGAAAATCAAAAAAAGAAAACCAAAACAAAGCCTTAAAGATCTTTTATTCCAGCAATCTTATTTCAAAGATAAAAATGAGGCCTAATGTCCTAAGGATAATTGGTAGCGTTGGCTTTTTTAGTGGTGTTTCCTCTTCTTCTTTTTTAAATTTTCTAACACAATTTTAACATATATTAAATATTTAAATGTTTTGAACAAAATTAGGAAAGATATGAAGCAGATTTAGGAAACACAGGAACCGTAGATTCACAGGGTGTTTGGGGGAATATTAGCTACACTGAAGCTATGTACCCCCAAACTAGATGTTCATTACTATTACATTAGTGAATTCTGAGAGGGAAGGGACCTTGTACTTTTTAAAATATTCACTGTTCTCTGTGCCTTGTTGAATAAACTAATAAAACGTATAAACATACATGAATGACTGGCGAATGGCTGTGTGTAACGTCGTATGTGGCCATGTTTACATTTAAGATTTTAATTCAGGAAGCCTGTGCAGTGGAGGCACAAACGAGGTTTACCCAGTCCCTACCATTCAGGAGCTGAGTGCAGTAGGTGTGGGGACATACATAACACAGTAGAAAGGGATAAAGACCTTTTAAGAGTGGTGTGCTGTAAGCCGAGGGTCCTCTGAGGAGGGAAAGTGGAGCTAGGGATGGGCAAACGTGCGTGTCAGCAAGAGTCATGCACCATCAAGAACATGGATTCTGAAACTTGGTTCATCTACTGATTTACCTTTTGACTTCAGGGAAAAAAAAATACAGCTTGTAATTTAATCTGCCAGATGTGTTTTCCATTCTGCAACTCCCGGGTTTGGAGGAGCCATTAACCAGGTTCCCTTGGGCAGAGACCTCCGCTGAATTTCCAATTTGGTTTCTCGCCTCTGCACCCATGATTTTCTGCACCCCCTCCGCGCAGGTCAAAGCAGGAAATATATATGAGGCCCCTTTAAAGGAACCCTCAGGGACACGCGCCCAGGGTACTCCCCCGGCCGCGGGGCAGGGGCGGGGCGCCGGAGACCCGGGCTTCCCACGCAGCCGGGGACGCCGTTGCGTCAGGGCTCCCGCAGCCAATCAGGATGGACCCTGGCAGGACGCATTACTAGGGCGACGGCCGGGTACCTCCTCGCTTCGGGATGAATTAGCGGCGGGTTCTGCCCCGAGGTTTGACCCCTCAGGAATCTCCTGCCTGTCCACGTGCCCCCTGCGGCGTGGCACGGCATTCCCTGCCAGTCACAGGTGGGCGGCCAGAATTGCCAGGTGGGGGATAGGATGCGGGTAAAATGGCGGCGACCCGGGGATCTCCGAATTGCGGGAGGAGGAGGCGCAACCACTGCTCCTCCCCGCGAGCTGCGGGCCTCCCCCGGGCTGCGGCCCTCCCCCGGGCTGCGGCCCAGGTGATGGTCACTCCGCCGGGAATTGGGGTTCCAGCTTGCGGGGAGGTTTCACCCTCTCAGGTTTGAGGAGACGCGGGCGAGCGTTTCGCAGAAGGTGGCGGAGGCCTTAGCAGCCGAGGGGCCGCGCGAGTCAGGGCGGCGAGGGCGAGGTGGCGGTGGGGCAGGCAGGGTTGGGTGCCCCGTTGGTGCTCTGGACGGAGCTTGGGACCTTCCCGCCCAGACCTCGGGGATTCTGGGAGCTGCACTGTCCTGACCACAACCCGAGCATGCCCCTGTTAAAATATCCTGAGCCAAAATGTCGCAAATGGCAGCCACGTGCCAGACTTGAGCGGGAGCTGTCGAGGGCAGGGGCTGCAGCTGTTTTGCATAAAGAGGTGTGAGTCCTAGCTGCCAGCGTGGCAGTGCCTCGAAGGTAAAGGCAGGCTTTGCTAGAGGCTGATGCCAAAGCCTGATCTTTAGGAGGCTTCTTTGCATTTAACTGCCTGTTTGAAGAGATAGAGAGATAAGGCTCTTACTTGTAGTTGTAGAGCCATCCGCTTTCTGGTGGGTCCCTGGGTTTGGGGTGCGTTTCCTTGCAGCATTGCATCTGCCTTTGAAGTTCATTACTGTATTCATACAGGCACTGAATTGCTTTATATGGATAAGCTTGGGGAGTGAATTTCAGTTTAAACTCAAAGTACTTGTTGTTTAAAATATTGCTAAGATGAAACATTATAAGTATTCCTCACTTATTTGGGCAAAGAAATGTGTCATGAAGTATAACTAGTTGGGTTTTAAAAACTGTTTTGATCAAAGTCCTTTATGAAAAATTGAATATTTTCGAGTTAGTGAAAGAAAATTGCTTTTTTTCCCCCCAATTTTTATGTTGTACTTTAATGTGACAGATAGACAGATAAAGCATAATTAAGTGATTTTTCGTGTTTGGTGACAGGCTTGATTTTTGTGGAGTTCATTGTTCTATAATTGAGGAAGCACCTAGCACTTTATGTGAGTCAGGCACTGTGAAAGTGAGGCTGCTTACATCTACCTGTAGGGATAGATGATTCCCAAATTGTGGGAATCATCTATCCCTACAGGTCTGAAGACCGTTGCTGCTGACCACCAGAAGGAAATAATGGGGAAATCCCCAAAGACTCTTCCAAATGGGTTTTGGAGATTTGGTCAGTTTGTTTTGGGGTTGAAATTATGTGTGATTATGTTCAAACTATGCCTTGAAGTATTTTAGGGCAATCTTGTAACTACTATGTTGGATGCCCTATCTCTGAAATGGCAATAGCATTTTTTGCCTAGATAATTTCATTGTGCTGTTGTGAAGGAGGAAAAAGAGAGTGTATGTAAAAGGATTTTTTAAAAAGTTAAAAAGTACAGTGATTAGGGTTGATATTTATTATTATGCACTTACTGGCCATGCACTGTGTTGAGGGCCTTATTACATGCTCTCAGCTAGCAGCATTATGAAGTTATCATCTTTGTTTTACAGATAAGAAAAGTGAGACACATTGAAATTCAGTAATTTTGTACCAATGCGTATAACTACTATTGTCATTATGTTTAAGCTTATGTTTGTAAACTGTATGCCTGTTGTCTGTTTATATACAGATTTATGTGTTAAGGGGAAATATGTGAACAGATTTGTACTGTAATTGATTTCAAGGGAATCATTGTGATCTTTTAGTTGTTAAATAATAACTGATTCATACTGTTGGTAGTGATCTTTGATGACTAGAGTTACTTACTTTGCTTAAGTGGTATATTCATCCTACTTTTGATGTTATTAGTTTAAAAGGTAGTTTAAAACAAAAGAGTTGTGACTGTTTCTACTAGGAAACACATGTCAATAATTAATATTTGAATTTTGATGAAATTTTTTAAAAGAGCTAGACATGATGGCTTGCACTCATTATCCTGGCTACTCTGGAGGGTGAGGCAGGAGGATCACAGGTTCTAGGCCTGTCTGGGTAACTTGACAACAAAGTCTGAAAATAAAATAAAAAGGGCTGGGGTTGTAACTAAATGGTAGAGCATTTGCCTAGCATGCATGAGGCCCTAGGTTCAATTCCTAGTACTGGAAAAAGAAAATTCTTTGAAAGAAAAACTTGCTGGGTACTTTAAAAAATTGTTTTAGGAAGGTTCACTGCTAATTTTTCTAATCTTTATAGGAATAAAAATCACAAATTAAAGTGACTTAGGGCCATTCATTCTTTCTTTGAACCTTTCTATAGTAATCTTGCCAAGACTTTGGGATTTAAAGATTAATTCCTGATCTTATTTTGAAGAGTTCAAGGAGAAACCGAAGTCCAGAAATTTGAAGACTAGTGAATGAGATGAACAAATAAATGATTAACTAATACATTGTGCTGAGAACTCAAATATAGCTGTGGTGGGTACACATAAAAGGGATGGACCTGGCCAAGAGAGGAAGGGAACTGACTGGAGGATACAGAAGAAAGGGCTCTGGTAGTTGGAGGAAGCAATGTGAAGCCAGCATGAATGAGAGGTCCTATGACGGTCATATGACAGTGTTGTAGGTATTGCTGGGAGAGAAGCTAGGTTGGAATTCTCAGCTAAGAGAAACTTTAAAAGACTTTATCCTGTGGGCAGTAAGGACTGAAGAAGGATTTTATTAGATGAGTAACATGATCAAAATTATATTCTTGAGAGGTTATTTATGACAGAGTGAAAGACAGAAAGTAAGAAAGAGACCAGTTAAGGCCAGTTTCATACTCCAGATGAGTTGATGAGGGAGTGAACCAGGTCATCAGCTGTGGCAGAGCAGAGTTCAAATTCCACCTGTTTTGAAAGCAGAATATAAAATGGATTAGGTGTGAAGAGGTCCAGGGTGGAGGAGGCAGAACACCTGCTAGGTCAGTAGAGGCAAGAGTAAAGTAAGTTTGTTTTGTAACTATATGGTTGGAAATTGGAAATTTGTTTTTCATTAATTTAAGGAAAAGGATACAGCAGGGCTTCTTCATGATTGGGTTCAAAGGGAAAGGAAGAATTATTTAAGGTATGTTTGGGGAAAAAAGCTGTGATAATGGGTTTTAGAATTTTAAAATTTACATTAGGTTCTTAATATTTGTACAGAAGTGATTTTAATATGGAAGTAATCACTGGTGAATTCTCTAGTTTATAAAGTGGATCACCCATCATTTATAATGATAGTTATCCAGCATCTAACAACATAATATGAATGTACTGCAAATCGACAGCAAGATGAAAACACAAGCCTTTCAAAGATGCAGTATTTCATGAATTGCGAGTATGGTGGAGAACTTCTCAAACCATAAGCATAAATCAAGGAATAAGTGAGTAGAGTAGATAGACATTTTTGAAAGGACTCAGAAAACAGTGACTGTAAAAATGAATGATAAATTTGTCTTGACATTTCATTAAAACTGATAACTTCCCTCCATCTAAAAGTCACTGTTAAAAGAATGAAGAACAAAATACAGACTGGAAGAAGAAATTTGCAATTCATATATCTGACCAAGGCCTTATACTCAGAATATGTATGTTTATTTATTGGTAAAATCAGTAAGAAAAATAATTTAATTAGAAAATGAAACTTGAAGGGTACTTTCTCTATGGCCAGCATGCATATAAAAAGATACTCAACATTATTAGTCAACAGGGAAATATAAATTAAACAATAATGAGATATTCATATGCCTTCCAGATTAGCTAAAATTAAAAGATGGTCAGTGCTAATGTTGGCATGGATGTAGATTGATTGGATCACATAGATAGTGTTGGTTGGAGTGTAAAATGGTACAGTCACTTTGAAAAACTGTAGCTGTGTCCACTCTTACCCATAATCCAGTCATTCTATTTCTAGGTATATCCAGGAGAAATGAATGCATGTGTTTAGAAAAAGTGCATGAAAGAATGTTCATATGTCTTTATTCAGAATAACCCCAAATTGGATACAATCTGAATGCTCATCAGCAGAATGGATTAATAAATTGTGATATAAAAGGAATCATTAAAAAGCAATCAAAAGAGAATAAACTACAAAAACACACATCAACATGGCGAGATCTCATAGTCTTAAGGCAGACATAAGATTGCATAGTGCATGATTCCGTTAAATGAAGTTCAGAAACAACAACTACTTCCTGATGATTTAAGTCAGAATAATGGTTACTTCAGGGTGGTGGAGAATGACTGAGAAGGGGCAGGAGGAAATCTTCTAGGACATTGGAAAATATTCTGTGTCTTGGGATAGGCATATGACTGTGTGTAAAAATTTAAGTTGTACATTCTATTTGTGTACCTTACCATAAATACATTGTACTTTAATAGTAATAATCATAATCATCATAATAAAGAGACGTAAGTAAGAATATGGCAGTGCTAGATGCTAGACTAGTATACTTGATGAGGAAAACCAACAGGGATAATGTTGAGAGATATGCTTTAAATTCTTTTAAAAGTAGTTTGAGAAGATCTAGGAGAGAAAGTTATGAAATATAAATTTTTTTTTGTTCTGAAATGACTTTTATATAATTGTCTTTCAAAAAGCAAATGTGAAATCAAAGCTGTCATATCATGCTGTTATATAGATTGGTTACAAAGTTATGCTCCAAGCCCTCAATCAATTTATTTATTCCTTGTCATAGGAACTAGTATGTAATTGCAAGTATAACCTAAATTTTATCAATATAATACATGGTACATTATGAAAAGTTGATTTTTTTTGTTTCCTTTTTTTTTTTTTTAGAAATTCTCATTAACTCTTTTTTGTCATTCTGATGGTCCTTTTTTAAGAGGAATTGCTGGGTGGCCTTTTCCCCTGCTCTGCTGATTGTCCTTAGATAACAAAGACAGGCTGTACTTTCTTTG